TGCTCTAGCTGTTCCTAATTTAGCAGTGATAGATTAGAGGAAAGGCAGCTACTCAACCCACCTACTGCCAACTCTTGGGCTACTCTTTTACCAGTAAAAAGTGAGATTGACCATCACATTATGATGCTCCATGGTTGAAAGGGTGAGCATGTTTGGTGTGATGGGGATTCAAATTTGCAATGTGCAGACTGCGAATCAAGATACCTAACCACTAAGTCGATTTTTGAAAGCATTTTTATATAACATGAAATAATACTTGTATACTTACAAAATATTACAATTATACTTGTCATTCTTTATCCAGTCCATCAGGGATTTTTAAGAATTAAAAGAACATATAATAATAGCATTGAAACCAAAGAATGTAGTGTTTAAAAATGTAACTGGTCTAATATTAATGTCTTATGAAAATTATATTTCCAATCATGCTTTGCCAACTTGTAAAAAGCATTCATGCCATAATATTTTCTTTTTAAATTCAAACATCCAATTTAGAATATGAAATATTTCCAAGCATATAAAATATAATGGCCTAAAACTAATATACTTTATCTGGTTTTCTAACAAAGATAGAAATGGTTTAAAATAATTCCCATATTTGATCAAGCATAGCTCCAACAATGGCATACAAAGAAAATGACTCCAAAATGTTTAATTCTGCTTAAACCAAGGTCTTTAAACTCTGTGGCTGACAGTTTTTAAGTTAAGTGAATGCCTTGCTTTCTACTAGTTACAAATAATACAATAGCTAATGCCAGAAAAAATTTATGATGATCTTTGAAAGCAGGATGCTTTGTGGGGTAGTGGTAATATCTTCATAAAGCAAATAGCTTTTTCATCGAAGTTTACAGTTTAGCTTGGGGATATGCATACATGGGAAATTCTAGGGAAGTTACAAGGCCAAATAGGGGTAGCTAGAGGCATTGCTAAGTGTTGAAAAGATTCAGGGCTTGGGTCAATAGGTGCAGAAAGTTTTTAGCGTCTCAGTATGATATCAAGACACTGACTGGGATTCAGGGTACTATCAAACATAATTGTGGCACAGGCCCCATGTGCCAGTGCCTAGCAATGCCTTTGGGGTTAACATAAAATGTAGAAATGAGCAGTTCAGAGTGAAGTGTCAATTGAAACAGAAAGTGAATATATTTATTTAAATGTCATTTTAAAAATAAAATATATAATATTATAATTTGAATAAAAAACTATGCTTTGATGTCAAGTTAATTGACATACACTAATAACAAAGTAGTTTAATTAAATTTTGAATGCCACTCTGTAGAGTGGTTGTGACATGTGCACTTTGACCCACCCATGCTCCGAGGGCCATATTATATTCTTTGACTTACCATATCCTCTGCTATGGACTGCAGAATTCATCCATTAAAGACTCACAAGCACAGAGTGGGTCATCAAATCAAATAAACACAGTAAGGCCTCTTATAATGGTAATGTGTATATAACATTTATGGGATTTTTATACACCTATTTTAACTCACGATTTAATAACCTACAGAAAAGAAATCTGTAATGTCATTATCAAACAGCTGGTCAACTGTAAACTACTGAATAAATCTGGTGCACTGCCACAATATTATTCACATACCTAAACTAATTTAGTTTAAAAATAACTTAAAATGTAAAACTCTTAAAATATTTTATTGTTTATAAGTATTAAACATTACAGTCACATTATAAATATGAGATATTTTTAAGTGAGTTAAGGATTAAAAAATGTAATTTCATTATAAATTATTGTGACTGAAGTCTGAAGAAACAATTTCCTCTGGGATCTAATATTTTTTTGCCATTTGATAAAAATTTTTTAGACAAAAATTGTAATATGGTAATTCTAACTCTCGTAACAATTTTAACTGAAAAATATTTTATAATCAATATTTTGTCATTCTATGATATTTATTTAGTACTAGACCACCGTGACCTGTTGGGTCACCCACTATTCAGAGGTTATGAAGAATTCAAGCTAATTTCAACATTGCACCAAAATGAATGTTTATTTTGAGATAATTTAATTAAATATTTCAATCCATTTGTGTTATTCATAATTCAAGAAAAGATATTTGATTGTTGATCGGGAGTAAAAGGAAAGACCATTTCATTTTTCAAAAAAGTGAAGTAAGAAGTTTCGTAAAGAGCATGAACAGTAGTATGAATGATTTTTTGACTGAGCAAATAAGCAAACAAACAATCTCAGTTTTAGTAGTATATAGATAGATTCTTCAAGATCTTATTTTTGTCATCTTATGCCTTTTAATGAAGATGGGAACATTGACAGGGAAAT